GCTTGAGATGGAGCCTCAGGCCACCTCTGGATCACAGCTTTTGTGTGCTGACCCTGAGGAAATGCTACCCAGAATATTTCACCTCAATGATGTTCATTTCTTCTTAATCACACCTGATTTTTCAGCCCCAGCTAACCAGCATTAATTGTCCTAACAAAGCAAATGTTTCACTTAAGTGGTGCCGGTCTCTTGTTAATCACAGGTGATTCTTCAGCCCCAGCTGACCAGAAACCACAGAGTCTCAGTTCAAACCATCATACCAACAGCTCTGATGGTCTTTGCTTCCTTTGAAATGCCACAAGCTAGGCCTCCATCACCCACCTTTCTGTTCAGCATAACTGTTCCAAGCTCCACAGCAATAGCTCACAAAGAAGCTCTAAGCACTCAGTGGCTGTTCCAGCCCAAAGTACTGCCTATGTTTCCAGAAATTCTTCCAACTAACAGAACTGTTTAGAACAACTCCACAAAGCTTTTTCACTACAATTTTATTTTTTAAAGTAAAATTTGACTTCAGAGAAGCATCTTCATTAATAATATTCATTCTAATTATAAAGTATGAATTAAAGAAAACGAGAGAGACTTCCCTAGTAACGCACTCTTAAAGAAAAGTTGCTAACCACATATGATATGATATGATATATTAAAATGTGTTATAATACATATAAACATATGAATAAGGTCTTTTAGAAATGAGTTTCTAAATAAAATATAACCACAGAAAGCATGAAGAAATTATAATTGGTTCTACAGCTACCAAATTTGCAATGATTATACAGAAATATTATAAAAATATTTATTTTCCCCTTTTAAATAAATATACAGGGGCTGGTGAGATGGCTCAGTAGGTAAAGGCACTTGCCACCAGGTATGACAACTTGAGTTTGATCCCTTTGGAAAGAGAGAACTGAATCCCACAAGTTACCTTCTGACTTCTATGTGTATGATGGGGCATTCACATGCAAATAAATAAATAAAAGTAAAATTATTAAAAGAAATAAATATGTAATATGGAGGCAACTTCTTTAGAAACACATCTTTTCTGAATATTATCCAAAGTTTAATAATAATGAAATTCAATATTCTCCTTCATCTTAAATTATAAAAATGCTTTAAAGGCAAACCAAAGGTTTTCATACTTTGTCATCATTTCTTCTCATTTGAGTATATACCAAATGGCTCTGAAGATAGACAGATACCTTACTGATAACCAGTTCACATTACATACAAAACTTTGGTGTCCAAATGTCATGCTTTTTTCACAAATACACAGAATTGAATTTACTTGGTAAAATATGCCAATTAGGGACTGGGGAGATAGTTCAACTGAGAGAGTACTTACTGCATAAGCATGAGGACTTGAGTTCAGATCTCTGGTATCCACACAAATGCTGGATGTGGCTGCACACACCTGTAACTCCAGAGCTAAGGAGAGGGGACAAAAGGACCCTGGGGTTCAGGCTCACTGACCAGCCAATCCGATTTTGTGAGAGACCCTGTCCCCCCAGATGAGTGGAGTGTGATTGAGGGAAGCATGCAGCATTGATTTCTGCCTCTGCATGCACACACGTGCATACACATTAGCACACATAAACACTCACATAGGTACAATGTACCAATGAAGGAAAACATTAGAAAAAATAGTCTCCTTATTAGATAGAAATCATTGAAAAATAGTAGGTGAAGGTCAGTATCAGGTAAGGCCAGTGGTTCACCAAGTGCATGAAGAATCTTGTACTCAAATTTTAAATGTAAAAGCCAAAGGCTTCACCAATAAGCCACACCTGACTGTTGTTGATGTTCATGGATAGACTTCTCTGAGTCTCTGAAGCCTAAATGGGCTTCCAAGTTAAAGTTCCTAAATTTTGTATTGTTTAGCTCAGATAAAGCTCTTCTTAAGCTGCTGTCTGCTGTAATCCGAGAAACAGGAATTAAAAAGTGAGAGGTTATTTAAGTGCTTTAAGCAGACCAAGTAAGTTTTTTGTACTTTCTTATAAGTTCTTTTAATCTGGCTATACATTAAATGGTTTTGAAGATACACAGATATTTCACTGATAATCTGTTACATAATATGCAAAACCGTGGTACTCAAATGTCAGAATGTTTTTACAGACAAATGCAAATAGTTTTATAAATCCGACGATTGAAATACGGCTGTAAACACTAGTATGATGGAAGGATCCCAGGAAGCACTGCTCTCTATCCAGCTTGGACTTGGAGATTAAGTTTCTTACACTTAGATTCTAGAAACATTCAGAGCATAGTAAGGGCACAGTTAAACTTCTAAAAGAGAGAAAGTGGAGACATAGCAGCTCATGAAGGTTCAGACAGAGGGAGGAGGGCAGCAAGTAGAGGTGCCTTCTGCCTGATGGGCCTGTAGCTGGGGCTCTGGGAAATGGGTCCTGTTTGGGAAGAGTCAAGTAGCACTCCGGGTTAGTTCCATAAACTTGTTTGGGCAGAGAAGGTCAGAGTTGTGCCTAGCATCATGGGGGTCCTTGTGATCGGTGAGGAAAGGATTTCTCATTTCCACCACTACAAAATCATCTGCCTGTTTTGCAGTCCAGGCCTGCAGGGATCCGTTTTTGCTGCCATTACAATAGCTTAAGAACTTTCCCTTCATTCTTCAATGTTTGGTTCACAAGTAATTTTTTGCCTTTTCTGTGAATTGTTGTGGTTGGCATCTTTATCAGGCGAGGGGTTATTGCTGGGTTCATTTTCACAACCAATTAAAATGTAGGGAAAATATCAGCCCATCAAAGAGCAGCAAACAGACTTTTATTGAAAGATAATCACATCCACTCACATAAAGGATCACACACATACATGCGTTCATAAAAAAGATGAAGCACTCCATAAGTGGAAAGGGAACCTGGAAACCAAAATCCAACATCCCCAAGAAAGTTTTCCCTCCCCTAATTTTGGATTGGTCAACTTACACAAAGAAGTGGGTGTTGATAGGCTTATGGCTCCAAATGATGAGGTGTGTATGTCCAGGTGACTCTAAACGGGCCAGTTGAAAGGGCCCTGTTGGAATTAAAAATAAGGCCTTCCTGCCAGAGACCGAGAAAAAGTAGGAAGTTGCCATCTTTATTACTTCTCAGTGACCCTGCCAGGGTCCCTTACAGGAATGACATGTTTATCAGATAATGATACTAAAAATGGTGTTGATCATATCAAGCACACATAATTTCAGTTTATCCACACAATGAACACAAGAAGTAATTAATCCCCTTAATCCCCTTAAGTTGTGCTATATGTTTGTGTATGCATGGATGCTGTGAACAAAATCAGGATCTTGAACACTCTAGGTAGGCAAAAGCTGGACTACTGAGCTGCATCCTTGGCCCTTTCATCCTACACTTAAAAATAAAAAACCCTTAAGCACAAAGTCACAGAGCACTGGGGATTTTGAACCCAGCAGTTGGCCACCCCAGTGCCCCAGCCACCCACCACTGTAGAGCCAGGCACTTCGCTACTGGCAAGCATCACCCTGACAGACACAGACCACAGGGGAGTGATCAGGTAGCACAGACCCCCTTTCTTTGCTTTTACCTGACAGGCCTGGGCAGGGCCACTCAACAAAGGTAAGTTAAACTTAGACCCTGTACAGGATATTGTGCTCAGGGTCATCAGGTGACTGGGCATTGGCTCGGAAAGGCTTGGCAGTCAGAAAATACATAGCTAGAGAAGGGCAGCTAAAAGCTGGGTGGAAGGTCCTTTAGCCAATGGGATGTGGAGAAGGCTGTGGACAAGAGTGGGCACTGGGATGGACTGTGGCAGAAAAGTTGATTTTGACCTGAAAAGATGGAGAGGCTGGTCCAAAACAAGAATGAATGAGCTGGGCAGATGCTGGGCCTCAGCATTTTCTTTCCCTGGATGTTCTGTGATGATCACAAAGCAAGGATTGTCTTTACTTCCCACATTCCCAGTTCTTAGAATAAAATCTCAGTGTCCTGGTCTAATATCCCTCCTAGGAGCTGCTAAGGATGCCACAGTGTTAGGAGCAGGTGCCGTATGTCCCAGTTGCTTTTCTTCTACTTGGAGTCCAGTGATGAGACACGGACCTCACTGTACCTCAGTTCCTCAGCTGTGACATAAGTCGTAATTGTGCACAGTCCATGGATTGCCATGATGGTCACACACTCTGGCCTGATGCCTCCAGTTGGTGCTCTGTAAATCATAGCTGCTATTGTTATCATTATGGCTCTGGTGGAGAGGATCTCCTGGTCCTGTTTCTGTCTGGTTCTGTTCCACGTTGCTTCCTGCCAGATGTTGCGATCTGCTGACCCATTCTGACTTCTTTGTGTTCCCTCATATAGCACAGCACAAAAAGGGGAGCTTGCCGGGAACATGTGTTAGTTACTTTTTCCATGACCCAACTACCTGACAGAACAGTTTAAGGGAAAAAAGACTGATTTGGGTTCATGTTATCAGAGAGTTTCAATACATTATAGGGGGAGGCGTGACTGTTTGTGGCAGAAGTGTAAGGCAGAAGCTCCCATGGTCACGATGTACCAGAGAACAGAATGCACACAGGAACCAGGGCTGAACTGCAAGCTTCGAGGGCTGGTCCCCAATGACCTACTTCTGCCACCTCCTGAAGACCTCACAGCCTCCCAAAAATAGTGCCACCAGCCCAGGAACAAGTATTTAAAACATGAGCCTGTGGGGGACTGTTCAGGTTCAAACTACAACAAAACACACTGTCGGAAACTTTGCTCACTCATGTTGTTCACAGGCTTTTTTTCTATCATACTTGAAATCTAGGACATCCTAATGTTCTAAATGCTGAAAGAGCTATAAAGGACCTGTATATTTATTTATCTGCCTAATGAATTAGCTATTCCCAAGACCCATAAAGATTCAAGATTAACAACTTTTATGTACCCTGGGAATAAGAAAGTGTTCTTTCTTTTTTTTAGGGCAGGGGGAATCGGAGTATTGCTCTGTTGTCAGGGCTGATCTTAAAGTCCTGGGCTCAGATGAATTCCTGGCCTCAGCCTTCAGTGTAGTTAGGACTACAGTCATGCACCACTATGCCTAGCTTGAAATAAAATTCATACAAGAAAATAACCTCTAAAGTATACTGGTAGACTTACCTTCCATCTTCCCCTAGATACACTAATACGTCTATTATTAAACTGATAGGAACAGATATTACACTTGCTCTTAGTCAAAAGACCGAGAAACAGCCACAGTGCTACTCACAAAACCACTGCCTTTTCTCTACAGCTGACATGGGAAACTGAAGAGATGTGACCACACATTGGCCTCTTCCACCGCTCTGCTCTGTTCCTGTGATGCTGACTTTCAGGGAAACGTCGCCTACCAGAAGCAAGAGTCCAGACAGGTAGTCATGCAGCCAAGCAGGTGCTAAGTATGTACGAAACAGTGTACTGTCTTTGAGAAGGTCAGCTCTGAAGGTCAAGAGGGTGGAAGTCTTTACTAAGGAGGGAAAATGTCAGCTATGCTGCTGTGTGCAGGAGCAGGAATCCACTCCTCCATTGTCAAAAATGCCCAGACTGCAGCTCGCTCAGCCTTGAGTCCAAGTTTTAAGGCTGGCTGGCAAATTGAAAACAATGTGCATTCCTTGGGAATGACCCTTTATGTTTTGTATGACCACAGAATCATTTAAAAGATGCTTTTCAGCTGTTCTTAATCATTTTGATTTTCTGAAGGAGAGTTGTGAGAGAAAAATCTTTTCTGTTCCTCCTCCACACCCTGTTCCCACCATCAAGAGTGGTTAAAACATTAATTCATCCCTTACCAGACAAGAGAGCTATGTGAGAATTTTAGTTTATTTTTATTTATTATTTATTTATTTATATTTATTTATTGTCTTTCTGAGATAGGGTCTCCCTGCAGCCCTAGCTGGCCTGGAACTCACTATGTAGACCAGGCTGGCCTTGAATTCACAGAGATCCGCCTGCCTCTGCCTCCCAAGTGCTAGGATTTAAGGCATGCACCACTATGCCTGGTGAGCGCTTTATTATTTTTATGATTTTTTATTTTTGTTTGTTTTTTTGAGACAGGATCTCATGTAGTCTAGGCTGCCTTTGAACTTATTATGTAGCCAAGGATGACTCCTGATCCTCCTGCTTCCACCTCCCATGGACTAGAATTGTATGTGTGTGCCACCACACTCAGCCTTTTTTTCTTTGGTATTTTCACAACTCTATGTCTCACACTTTAGTATGAACTCTTGCCCATCTAGGTACACACCAGCTGAATGCTAATCTATGATATAAAATATAAGATGATTCCCCATGTATCAAAAATTTCTGATTCTTGTTTCTAAACCCATGTGTATCTTTTAGAAACATGGCTTTATTCATCCATCCATCCATTTATTCATCTACCCATCCACCTACCCATCTATACATCCACCCATTTGTTCATGTACTCACCCATTCACTGACCCCATCCATTCACTCATCCACCCATCCATTCATCCACTCACCCACTCATTTACCCATCCATCCATCCATCCATCCATCAATCTATTCTTAGCAAACTTTACAATAATTAAAATGAGCCAGGTGTGGTGGAATACACCTTTAATTCCAGCATTTTAGGAGGCAGAGGCAGGAAAATCTCCAGGAGTCTAAGGCCATCCTGGTCTATCTAGCCAGTTCCAGGTCAGCTAAGGTTTACAGAGACCTTATCTCATAAAACAAAAAACAAACAAAAAAACAACAAAAAACCAATAAAATAATAAGAAGAATTAAAATATTTTTGAAGTATGAGCATTCTATATAGGCTTCCAAAGAACAAAATGTATTTGAAACTAAATGTTGATTCTATTTCCTGCATTCATGAATTCTTTCCCTAACAAGTCAGAGTTCTTTCAAATGAAGGACTGTTAAAGAATGACTCACTTGGAGAAACTCTTCAAGCTTTTTGAATCAAAAACAAGTTGGCAAGAATAACAGATATGTCACGAGAAGACAATGTAAAAGGAACACACATACATTTCCAAATGGATAAGCTCATTTGATTTATTCCCACACACAGTAGATTGTAGTAACAACAGAAACTCTGAAGTCAAGAGAGGGCATTTTCTGTCTTCAATGCAGATCTGATGGTGGGAAGGAATTCTCGTCTACCTTGGGGGTCTGTAGACAGCTTGCATTTGGGTTACTATGACACTCACTCAGAAAATTGGGTTTTGGAGCATTCCAGATTTCAGGTCTATTATTTTAAACCAGGGATGTTCAACCTATAATGAACAATGACTGATGTGTAAGGGAAGAACAAATATTTTGCATCAGCCAAAAACTAGACTGACTTTGTAGTTATATCAGTTTCTATCTTTTGTCTCAGTAAAAACTGATTGGCATGTGCCATTTGAAATTAACCCTGTGCTGGGCGCTGCTGATAGAGTGTGAGAAGAGCTGATTATAAAGGAAGGCTCTGGGGCGGGGGGGGGCTGGAGAGATGGCTCAGCAGTTAAGAGCACTGACTACTCTTGCAGAGGACCTGGGTTCAATTCCCAGCACCCACGTGGTGGCTATGAACTGTCCTTAACTCCAGTTCCAGGGGAATCCAAAGCCCTCTTCTGACGTCCATGGCACTGCATGACACAGGTGTACTCACATACATGCAGGCAATACACTCATACACAAAAAATAAAAGTAAATAAAATGTTTAAAGGAAGGCTCTGACCTTCACTCTAGCTTTCTTTAATCCTGGGTTTTCTCAAATGTTAGTTATCATCAAAGCTCCTTCATGCTTTCCAAGAAAGCCATACAGGCAATCGACGGAAGTCAGATTTCTCACCAAGCTACTCACAGCTCTCTTTTCTGTGTGTACTATTTCAATGGTCAGTCTTTTTAAAAGTCTCATTTACCAGGGGCTGGAGAGATGGCTCAGCTGTTAAGAACACTGACTGTTCTTGCAGAAGACCCGGGTTTGAATCCCAGCACCCACATGGCAACTAACAACTGCCCGTAACTCCAGTCCCAAGGGATCTGACAGCCTCTTCTGACCTCCGCAGGCATTGCTCGACATAGGTGCACTTACCTACATGCAGACAATACATGCATACACATAACATAAAAATAATAAATAAAAAATTTTTAAAGTCTCATTTACCTAACCACCTTCCATTTTAAACCTGGTTATCTTGAGGCACAGGAATAAAATTGTTTCTGGTGCTAAAGAAACTATGTTCAGGATTTCTATTACTGAGAAGACATCAACACAATTTATTAGTTCAGCACTTCCCACGAACATTAACAGAGGCAGTCTATTATGCACATCTACAAATAGAAGACACACACACACACACACACACACACACACACACACACACCCTATATTTATAGACCGTTATAGGGAAAACGCTACAACGAGAACAACCTGGAAACCAGACAAATGGGATCTGAAATAACTGCAAACATAGCAGCTGTCAAAAAGCCATCAGCCCCAGGGAGGGAAGTCTCCCCAACACTGCTGTCGCTGAGTTCATAGGAGAATCAACAGGTGAAATGAAACCAGACAAATGGGATCTGAAATAACTGCAAACATAGCAGCTGTCAAAACAGCCATCAGCCCCAGGGAGGGAAGTCTCCCCAACACCGCTGTCGCTGAGTTCATAGGAGAATCAACAGGTGAAACGGCTGCAGTCCTCTGTTGGCTCCCATATTCATGAAAAGGAAGACATTGATCTGCACATTCTGGGAACATCAGAAGCAAAGGCTCCCATGGGCCACTGTGGTTTGGGTGACCTTAAAGAAACCATTGTGGCTGTGGTCCCCAGGGTGGCACTCTTGAAAGGTGGTGGAGTTTGGGGGAGAAAAGGGCCTAGTTGGGGTGTACTCTTGGAAGTTAGTTCTCAGGCTCTCAAGGTCTCCTGAGAGGGTTATAAGAGGGGCGATCCTGGGCCCTCCTGTCCTCTCAGCTCCTCGGTGCCGCTGCCTCTCTTGCCGGCTCCAGCGCATGCTCCTACCATTGCTATCTGCTCCACAAAGTGAGGTACACAAGGAGGAC